CCAAGTCACTCCCTTTCCAGAGCTAAATAAAAATAAAACTGTAGTGACCACTTTCCCAAGTAATAAGGGCCACTGCTTTAATTACTTTTTTCTCACTGCTGAGACAAACACCGGACACCTGAAGTTAAAGGGGAAGCAGTTTATTTGGCTCGCAGTTTGTAGAGGTTTTAGACCATAATCAGCAGGCTCCACAAGGCAGAGTGGCACACGGCAGATAGGCATTGCAAAAGAGAAACAATTCATGGCAGGCAGAAGGTAGCAAAGCAAGCAAAGGTCAAGATATACCTCTTTCTGTCCCGTATATTATAACCAACCTACTGGGATTGGGGTGGTGTGCCAAATCAGTCAGTATACTGAATTAGTAATTACCCTTCATCCTAGCACCCTGAATTCTAGCATTGCACTATAAATCAATCATGCACTCTAGATTCAACCACCTGTGAAAAACCCTCACCTATGACTGCATGAGGCTTTAAGAGGACACCTGTACACAAGCCATAACAGTCATTAAATGAAAAAAAAAATCTCAATCTAAGACAAAATGACATTTTCCGAACTTCTATGAATAAACCAAGAGTGAAAGATAGATATAAAAAATAGGTCATGAACCTCAAAGATGGAGGGGCAGGAGTCAATGGATGGATTGCGGCAAAAAACAGGCAAGAAAGACAATTTTTTTATGTAACAAATTTGCAGCTGTGGGTGGGGGCTGAAGCTCCATAGAGGAGCACTCACCTAGTACATATGAGGTTCTGGGTTCTATCCCCAGCAGTACAAAAAACCCTGCAGCTTTAAAAAAAATCTGTAAAAATCTTTCAATAGAATGGAATAGAAAACATACAGACCAAATCAGACTTTTAATGATTTAAACTCCTAACAGTTCTAGTCCTAACCAGAATTACAGAATTGTATAATTTTGAACAACACCAGATTTCCTCATGTTAACAATGCAAAAAATAATAACTACCTTCCAGGGAGGCACAAAAGAATCAAGTCTTAAATTTTTAAGCTATAAAACATTACACCCTGGTACCAATAAAAACGAAAAAGACAAAAAAAAATTATACAATTTCAAGGTATCTTTATAATCACTAAAGTTATGAGAACAGACTTTTAAAAACATCCATAACTAACTAGCACAATTCCTGGCACAGCCATGGATATATAATTTATTGAATGAATAAAAGTATTTTATTTTAAAATCACTGCAAAGAGAATGCTAGAAATGGATTGATAAAACTGACTTAGAAACATTAGAGCCTTCTTTAAAAGAAAAAACTATGAACCAACTTTAAGCCTATTTCCATAACCCCACAATAAATAAGCCCAAAATATATGTATTTCAAAACTATATAAAGCCTTCTAAGCCCATTCATTAGTTTAAAAAAAAAAACCTGCATCAGCATCACAGTACAAAAAATACCAAATGGAAGGATAAACTAGACAGTCATTTGACACCAAAAAAGGTATAAAAATGTTGGATGCTAAGAGTATCTGGAAACTATAGAAACAAAAGGAGACATCAAAACACAATCCAATCAAGGAGTAGTATTACAAACTAATAGAAAAATTCACCAGTGTTTTTTCACCAACTCTAATATTCTTATTGGACAATATAAAAACAAAACATTATCTAACATGAAAATTGGCATTATTGTAAAAAATACCACAAGCAGGGCCAGGGACTTAGCTCAGCAGCCTAAGCGCCTGCCTGGCAAGTGCGAGGTTGTGAGTTCGGTCCCTGGTGCTACCAAAAAAAGAAAAAGACTAAAAACCTGGTGCTTTGGGGCTGGGGATTTAGCTGCCATGAAAGCAGGTGGTCGTGAGTTCAATCCCCGGTACTGATAAAAAAAAAAAGTACCACAAGATTAAAAAGGATCACAAACTACAGTAGCCCTAGGAGTTGGCACCATGGGGTGGCACCATGATGTTGCTATAGCAATTCACTACAAGGCTGTATTTTGCACCTAGGCATAAAAAATGAAGGAGGTGGGGCTGAGAGAGAAGCAAGATATCCTCCTTAGATGATACCTGTGGCAAAGGAAGGAAAAAATCCATACCATCTACTGCACTTTGAAAGGATAATGAACTTCTCAGTCCCAACAAGGGGCTTTGTAAAAGCCAGAAGTTAACTGAAAACAAGTGTGAAGCTAACATGCAATGATCACACCAAGAATAATTTTAAAGCAAACTGTACTTAAGTTTCATAAAATCATTAAGGAACATTAATAGAACTCAGTCTTCAATAAATGAGTTACAACACTATCGATTTTATTTCAATACTAGAAAAACTTTTCTTTAAAGTTATTACTCATTTTTTTAGTTACCAACATGTATGTGGTAAACTAATAAACACTATAACATAAACCAAAGATCAGGCAATGACTTTCATAATATTTACTTGTTCAGCTTCACTGGAGCACAAATCCAGAACAAATAAACCTCAAATTCACACAAATGCTATCTCAACAAATTAATACCTGCATAAAGGTCTCTTTTTTCTATTTCCTAGTTTATTACTAAAGTTAATCACACAACTTTTAGTAATAAAATCCAAAAGAGCCTTGCTATAACACCATTTCAGGGGTCCACGTTGTAGCACACTATAGGTGAGACTGCTCTGTGATCAAATTCCTAAACAAGGCACTACTAAGGTTAACCGATCTTAAAGGATCTTAATTAGGATCCTCTTTTGTAAAAATTTCCAAATCCACAATATTACTTGAAGCAAATCTTTAGCAGAGCTGACTGACTGTTCAAGGTCCTTTTACTCTTGAAACATCAAGCTAAACTGGCATAAAGTCTAATTGTACATGCGTTATTTCCACTTGATTTTAAACACTATATACATGTATACTGTACACTGGATCCTGGAGCAGAAAATGGACATTAGTGGGTAAACTAGCCAAATCCCAGTAAATTTGTGGTTACTTTAGTTAGTAACACAGTCATGATAATTTCCTAGTTTAACTAACATATTACAACTATGTTAACATTAGGGAAAGCTGGATGAAGAGTATAAGGTAACTTTCAGTTGTTACCTTCAACTTTCTTATAAATCTAAAATTATTCCACAATACTTTTAAGAGTAGGAAAATTTATTGAGAGCTCCTGAGAGCTGGAAGGGGACAAGAAACTGGGTTATCTAAAAGACATTTTTTAAAAACACAAGTACAAAAAAAAGCTCTATTGATCTCTCATGATTTGAGCAACTAAAATTATCTAAAATCTTTAAATGGGGGAAAAATGCTCATGAACTCATCTAAATTGCCTTCCATTTTCTGATTCCTATAGCCAAGACATACAAGGGAGTCTTGCCAACTTTAATCAAAGTGAAAAATTTTATGCGCAGGTGCCAAATATACCCAAAAATCCCTGTACTTTGTAGTTTTCCTTCAAAAATTACATATTCATTTTATTAAAACTGCCAAATTATGAGGTATCTGGCTGATAAATCTCAGATTTCTGAGACTGACTCTAGTTCACATTCACCTGGCGGGAAACGTGTTGTCAGTAGTGATTTGCTAAATTAAAAAAGGGTCTAAAGACACATGTAAACAAGGCCACAGCAGTGTAGGGCCCACAGTTGGTTAAACTAGAGACTGTACTCCAATCCTGAGTTTGAGTCCACCACATTTTTACCCAATGCTTTCTTCACTTTCCCCTCCCCCACATGTAAACTGATATCTAAACCCTGTAAATTAGTTTTTGTTCTATTTGAAATGTAAAATTCTAGAAGAACTCTGTTTTTCAATTTAACTCCTGCTATGGTTTATTATGATAAACATCCCATCTGTTTTGGCACTTTGGGACTGGAAAACTATAGTTTACATAAAAGTTATAAATTTCTAACAACGCTCTCACAAACATAAATTTATGTTTTTATACCTTACTCTGCTCACAAAAGCACAACTTAAAACATTAAAAACTATTCACATCCCCCACAGTATAAAGCACTAAATTACAAACATACCAAGAAGTAACCATTAGCTTAACTTACATGCCTGGGCATACTATGTATTCGCTATACCAAAGTTTTTGGTCACTGTAACTATTAAAAATATCACCACACAAAAATCAATTCCCATTAAGCCCTCAAAAAAATTAGACCTGAGTATAATTTCAGTAACTTTAATACGTGAACATATTTACATGTTAAACTGAAGCACCAGCAATGATCAAAACAAGTGTAAAATGCATAATAGCCAGCAATCTGTTCTTAACTAATTTCCTATTAAGCTCTCATAACCCACTGGCAGCTCCTCCCCCTACACTAAAAACACTTCCAAAAGAATTCCTCCACATCCTATCAGACTAGCAGCCATACTAAAAGTTTTGGCAACCAAATTCAACTGTAATTATGAGACGTATTAATATGTATGTAAATAAAATTCCTTACAGGTATTTTTGTTTGTAACAGATATACTCTATCTCAATGGTTAAATACTGAACTCTAATTTTAACGGTCAGTGATTAAACGTTTCACTTTTGCACTGTATGGAAAAACTAGTGCAAATTTGTAGGAGTCCGCAAAAAGTAAAATCCAACATTCTGAACTTAAAAAGCTCTTACCAACGTTGATTCCTGCCCACAAAGACATCAAGCGCAAGCCCACGAGTAAGATCTACTAACTTCCTGCAGAAAAAAACTCCAGATTCAGATATTCTGAAAGCTAAAGCCACTGCCCTGCAGTTGATCCTATCTATGGCCGACAGGCTGTGCTTAAAACTGTAGCGTTCAGCCTAGGAGTTCTCGGCTCGGCTTGGAACTGCTCAAACATCCATTTTGGAGCCCTGCACCCCCCACCCCCACCCCCGACTTCATTTTGTAGAGCTTTTCGGAGCTCGGACCCGCGGTGACAATTCCGAGAAAGCCCGGGCCGGCTGGGGCTCCACGCGGGGACGCGAGGCCCAGGCCCCGGCGGCCCGCGCGCGGAGGCCTCCGGGCCGTGTCGCGGGCGGCGGGCGGGAGGGCGCGCGCGAGACTTACCGCTCCGGCGGCCGCGGCGGCGGCGGCGGCGGGAGCCCCGGCGGCGGCGGCCGCCTCCTCGTCGTCGTCGCCCGGCGATGGCGGCCCTATCTTGCTGCAGGTAGCGGCCAGCAGAGCGAGCGGTGACGGCTGAGTGTCCTACCCCCGAGGGGCGGGTTCAGAGAGGAGACAGGGGAGGGGGCGGCGGTTAGGGCGGGCGGCGCGCACCGGAAGTGCGGCGGGTCCCGCGCGGCCTCCGGTCCTCCCGCTCTCCCGCTCTCCGGTCCGCGGCTGGCAGGGCTGCGCCGGCCTCGCCTTCCGCCCGGAACCTGGCGGGAGGGCGCGCCCCCTCGCACTCGCACACGCACAAAAAGGCGGCGGCGGCGGCGGCGCGGCGGCGGGAGCGCGGGCGAGGGAGGCGGGCGGGGTCTAGCGTTGGCGCCTCGGGCGGGCAGCTCCCGGGCGGGGGGAGGGGAGGCGGAGGAGGGGAGGCGAGGGGAGGAGAGAGCGGCGCGCGGGGGGAGCCGGCGGGCTCGGCCGCGCCTCACCTGGGCCGCCGCGCCGTTTCCGTGCTGCTGCTGCTGCTGCTGTTGCTGTTGCTGCTGCTGCAGATACTCTCCGTGGCCGCCGCCGCCGCTGCCGCCGCTGTCCACGTCCAAGGCAGCCATTTCCTCTTGCTTCACGGGCTTTTCGGGAGCTGCGGGCACAGCGCGGGGGTGGGGAGGCCGGCGGGTGGGGAGAGGGAGGGGGCCCGGCGGCCTCACCCGCGCCGCCCTGGCCCCTTCCCCTCCCCCACCCGCCCCCCGGCGGCGGCGGCGGCGGTGGCGCGCGCGGCTCCCTCCTCCCTCCTGCTGCTGCCCCCGCCCGCCGCGGCTGTAACCCTCCTCCTCCTCCTCCCTCCTCCTCCTCCCCGCGCTGCCCCTGCCCCCTCTCCTCTCCTCCCCTTTCCCTTCGCGCCGCTCGCTCGCACTCGCGCTCGCTCCTCTCGCACCGTCAGTCACTCACACACCCGCGCCCGCACACAGGGGGACGTGCTCCCGGCGGGCCGGGCCGCCCGCCCCGGGCCCGGCGGAAAGACGGCGTGGCTGGGGCTGGGAAGCTGCACGGTGGCTGGCGGGGAGGGAGGGGAGGCGGAGGGGAATGCGGCTTTCTGCCTCTCACAGACACTCGGTCGCACACTCGGGGCCGGGGGCTGGCAGCAGCGGCCCCAGGCGGGCTGTGGTCGGCGGCAGCAGCAAGGGTTGCTCTCTCTCTCGGCTTTACGTACCGGTCATAGTGTGTTTAGGACACCTCAGGCGGGGCTCCCCGCCGCCTTACACATGGTGAGGAGCGAAGGCGGCGGCGGCGAGAGAGGATGCGGGAAGCGGCGGCGGACACGGCCGGAGCGGTCCGGGGATTTTTTTTCCTATTTTGATTGACTGTGCGGGAAACACAAAAGGTGGAGCCTCCAGCCCAAAAGGGGGGAAGAGGGTGACAGCCTGCCCGGAAGTCCCGCCCCTCTTCTTGGCTCTCATTCGCCGCCGAGCTCTCCGCCAGCTGTGCTCATTGGTCCGGGCTCCCGTCTGTCGCTTCGCCAGGCGGCTCGCTTCCTGTTTGCCCCCCGGGTGGAAGGGAAGAGACAATGAGCATCCGAGACGGCGTAGGCTCCCGAAGAGCTGCTAGGGCTAGTCCGTTACCCCGCTGTGCCCGCCTCGTTTGTCGGCTGCCGATGCCAGACCCTAGGTGCAGACCCCTTTCGCCTCGCTGACACTCGGAGTAGGCCCCGCCAAGCTGTAAAAGAGCTGAGCTGGGGACGAAATCCGTCCCCAGTGGCTGCGGCGCCACTCCACGTTCTTCCATCGCGGCGCAGCCTCGGCGGGTTGTCCCCAGGGCCTCGGGCGTTCCGAGCCGCCGCTGCCCGGAGCTGCCAAGAGGCCGCCGCCGCTCAGCCCCGGGATTCTGCCACGGCCGCTGCAGCTACTGAGCAAAGCAGATCCGCCCCACAGGCCCGAGGGGAGGGCGCTGGTATTGGGGGAGACACCCCCTCCGAGGCTGGAGGAGGTTTTCTCTAACACATTCGGCTCTCGGATTCTCTGTGAAGCCATCTCGTTCCCATCCCTCTTATTAAGCCCCGGGTTTCCATCGTCTCCCACTTTCACCTACCCAGGAGGCAGGCATTTTAAAGCCTAAAAAAGAAACTAATCACCTTACATATGGCAGGAGACCTTTAGTTCTGGAAAGTGACACCAAGACAGAGACTTAAAATATGTTTTATTTTATATGTGGTGGGGACATGTTAAAGACAATCCCTTCATTTAAAAAGTCAGTTTGCTGTTACACATTGTTTCCTGCTTCATCATCTTAATATCAAATCAGGTGTTACATCTAAAAAATGGTATTAACAGTTACCACCATTTCCAAACTGAATCACACTGAAGTTCCCTCCATCCTTGAACCACTTTTAGTTATGTTCTAAATTTAATTTTTTTTTTAACATTGCATTAGGTTAACGGTCCTTTCCTCCTTGGTTTCCTTGATACCTTCTTGTCATCCTGGGAGAAAATCCTTAGGTTTTTTTGTGTGTACCATGCCAGACATCTCGTATTACCTGTAAGTGTGGTTGCCAGGAAGAGGTTAAATTCAGGAAATGGAAACAGTGTCCTCGAAAATCAGTGTCCAATTATTGTCATGATTCTTTTGTGTAATAAATGAGGTTGTGCTGGGAGAATGAGGTTGTGGAGTCCAAGCACTTGAACTAGATTTTGTGTGCACTAACTTTAAGATTTTCTTTTGCACCTCAGTTTCAAAACACTTACACTTTGCCAGGTATGTTGGCACACACCTATGAAGCTGAGGTAGGAGGATCTCCACAAGTTTGAGGCAAGCCTGAACTACATACTGAGACCTTGTTTCAAAGAAAAAAAAAAAAAAAAAAATATATATATATATATATATATATAAATATATATTTGCCACTGATGCTTATAGAATGAGAAACACATGGGTATGCTTGCCTCCTATTTGTGTGAAAGATCAGATTACCAGAGAATTAACTTAAAATCCACATTCCGTGCATATACAAAAGAGGGGCTGAAGTGAGAGGAGGGAAATGGGAGAAAAACAAGATAATAATCATATACAGGTACAAAATCCCTATAATGAGTGTTACAACTGTATATCTAAAATTACCAATAAAATGAAATTCAACTTCCTTTTTTTTTTTAATTTTTTTTTTCTTTTTCGTTTTTTTATCAGTACCAGGGATCGAACTCACGACTGCCTACTTGCAAGGCAGGCGCTTATGCCGCTGAGCTAAATCCCCAGCCCCAGAATTTATGTAATACTCCTGTAGGTCTCATATTTAGAACAATCACTTAAAAGTTTGCATAGTACAAATGATGTGCTGTTTTACACTTTTTCTTTTTTTGAAGAGTCTCATCATGTAGTATAAACTGGCCTTGAACTCAACAGTGATCCTCCTGTTTAGCCTCCCAAGTGCTGGGGTTATGGGTGTACACCACCACACCTGACACATTTTTAAGAGAAAATAAAAGTCATAGGACAAGCTTAGGGTGGAACAGAGAAGGATGGGTGTCCTCCAGAGCAGGGCAAAGATGAAAGCAAGGGGAAGAGAGAGACTCAGTGTTGTCACTCTTTATGTTTACCTGAATGTGTTAGGTACAGGATAGCTTTTACCCTAAAGAGGGTATTTCAGGTGGTTTTCCAGGAGCAAGTTATGTTGTATGGGTGTGAGACACTGTTATGTGCCTTTTGCAAAGGGTTAGTCTAACCACCATAAAGAGCAAAGTACTTAGCCACAAGAATTGAATTCATCTTCTTTGATATCAATTGAAAAATGACGAGATTTTCTTTTTTTTTTATAGACCTTTCTAATATGCACAAATACTGACATACAAAAACACTTCTGGAGCCAGGCGTGGTGGCTCATACCTATAGTCCCAGCACTCTGGAGGCTGAGGTGGGAGGATTGTTGCAAGTTCGAGACCAGCCTGGGCTACAAAGTGAGCTCAAGGCCAGCCTGAGCTGCATAGCGAGACCCTGTCTCAAAAAAGAAAAAAAAAGGGGGGGAGGTGGGGCTTGGGATTTAGCTCAGTGGCATAAGCACCTGCCTTGCAAGTGTGTGCTCGTGAGTTCGATCCCTGGTACCAATAAAAAAAAAAAATTGTCCAGGTACAGTGGTGTACACCTGTAATCCCAGCACTTGGGCACTTGGGAGGCTGAAGCAGGAGAATCGCTTGAGTTTGAGGTCAGTCTGGGCTACATAATGAATTCAGCCTAAACCCAAAGTGAGACCCTGTCTCAAAAAACAACAAACCACTTCTAATCCTTCTAGAAAAGAGGAAATTACACCTTCCCAAACCTCACTCAAAAGAGTTATTGCCATTGAGTATCTTAAAATGGCTGGAAATGAAGGTAGTTTTTTGAAAAACCTTAATTATTGCAATACTGTAGTCAAATCATAAAATATAGTTTAGCTGTAAGATACTTATTGTCTTAGTAGAAGGCTGTCTCTCAATGGCACATACTTCTGTATTTCTGTAGGAATCTCCAGGGTGGTTAACAAAGAGGCACTGTGCCGAGTATTGTTGATATTCCTCCTTTCCCAGATGATTTGAAGGAGCCCACATACAGAGATCGGGTGCCACTATTTTTCCTTTCCCTCAGTACCCTTTTTAATATTTTGGTAAGTTTTCTTAATGCTATGGACATCTGATAAACTTTGAAAGTCCTTAAAGTTACGTAGGCACCAACTGACTTGAATCTAACTGCATACTCTCCCAAGAGACATGGCCACTAAACTCAACCTCTGTGAGAGCCTGGTCCTTCTGTATTAAAAAGCGGGTTGTACAGAGTAACTGAGCCACACCTGAAGGACTCTGCCCTTCGCTTCAGAGTCCCAGCTTCCTCAACCTCTTCTGTCAGTTTCAAGACACCAGTCAACATCAAGGCTTCTCCAGCAATCAGTTTAAATGATTCACCCAGCCATTATTTGAAAAATAAACACAAGATAAGGAAGATACAATAGGGGCTTGGAGTGCAGCTGGGTAGGAGAGCAAGAGCTTAGCACTTGTGAGGCCCTGAGTTCAAACCACAGGACCCAAAAAAGGGCACAGTAGGTTAACAAAATCATTCATAAAGCAGATCTTCCTTAGAATGTGAGTGTCTGGTGCCAGAGGTCATGTATCTTGAATGCTTTAAACATGTCTAAATGTTGTCAGTGTTTAATATTAGATTTTAAGACATATATTTTGTGGGAAAGTGAGTGATGAGTAAAAAATTTAACTGAATAGTGTCTGGTAAAATTTATTTGACCTTATAATAGTTCACCTCTTTCAAGATCAAGATCCCTGAATGAGTTAGGCCCTAATTTTCATTCAAGCTCCACACCAAGAATATTACTATCCTACAAAAGGGACTAATATCCTTAAGAAATCTCCCATTATGTACTAATAAAAACTATAATTAAAATCACAAGATATGGTGATATTCTGTAATGCCAGCATTCAGGCAGCTGAGACAGAAGCACGATCTCGAGTTTGAGGCCAGTCTTGGCTACAGAGCAAGCTGTCTCAAACAACAACAAAAAAGCACTCAGCTGTGGTGCGTACCTGTAGTTCCAGCATTGGGAGACTGAGGCAAAAGCATAGCAAGTTCAAACCTGGCCAGGACAGCTTGACAAGATTCTGTTTCAAAATAAAAAGGGCTTGGAATGAAGCTCAGTGGTTAGGTCCTAGATTCAACCGCTATACTGGGGAGAAAAATTACCCAGGCAATTGAGATTCCTTAGTGTTCTAAAATTTCTAAACGTCAGCAACACTCCTAAAGTCAACTCCCTGTCAGTCCTGGTAGTGTAGCCCACTGACATTAGATTTGTAAGTTAAGGACAATTTTCTGAGGAAAGTTTATGTAGTTTTACCTTGTTATTAACTGTCTTAGAAGAACACAGAAGGTTAGAAACTCTTCTGTTTGGACCAAGGATATAGACCAGTTGCATAGCACATGCCTGGCAAGCACAAGGTCCTCAGTATGATTCCTGGTAGCAAAAAAAAAAACAAAAAACAAAACACTTTGGTTTGTAAGTTAGCAAATTTGAGAGATGGGTTTACTTAAATAACAATAAACTAACTGAAATGTGATGGCCAGCGCCCCTCAGCTTCCAGTGTATTCACACAATTTTACGAGTTAGTCTCTGTTATTTATAAAGAATTATAGTCTCTGTTATTTATAAAGAATTTCTTCTTTCCTCTAGTCATAAACCAGGCAGTACCTCAACTAAGCCCCCAAAGAGTCAGCCATGCCCAGTCTCACCGAGAACTGTGGGGAGCAGTAAGTAAAGAATGAGGTGGCAGGGAGATCGGATAAAGTTTCGAGAATACTGAAGACATTTTTTTACCTGCTTTGAAGGAATAGAATTTCTCTAACTTCTAAGATTGCTACAATGCTACATGGTCTCTTCACTCTTATTTCAACCTAGGAACTAAAGAAGTACAGTTCTACACACACGTATATCTCTGTCGATTTTGTGTTGTGCAATAATATTCCTGAAGCGGATGCTTTGTAAAGAGAGGTATACGTAGCTCACAGTTTGGGAGACTGAAGGCCAGCACTGGGCATCCTCCTCTTTTCCTCCAGGGACTCTACCCTGCTGCACCACAGCCTGGCAGACCAGCAGGAATCAGCTGCTGCCCAAGGGACACGTAGGAAGACAAGAAGCCGGATTCAGGTCCAGCCTCTACTTTGTGTGATAGTTGCCATTAAGGAAAACTAAATGGGTCCCTGAATAACTGATTCATCTCACCCAAGGGTGATGCTCCGACCTAATCCTCTCCCTCTGGACCCTGCCCCTTAAAAGTTCCCGTCATCATCGCCATACTGGAAATCATGCATCTCGCATGTGACTGTGGAACACTCAAGCTACATCCAAACCAAACACATACACACGTCAGAAGTGGTAACACACACCAAATATGGATACAAGTGTGTATAGTAACACTACAGTATCTTGCCAGAGAATGATAAATGCTAAATTTAAAATGGCCATGATGGGCCCTGCATGGTGGCCCATGCCTATGATTCCAGCACTCAGGAGACTGAAGCAAGATCACTGTGAGTCCAAAGTCATCTGGGCTCCATAGTGAGTTCAAGGCCAGCCTGAATTATACAGTGAGACCTTGTTTTAGTCAGGATTCACAAAGGAAAAGATTTAATACAGGACATACAATTTATAGGATTATTTAAAAATATTCACCCAAAGGATCAAATGCAAGAGTATAGAAGACCTGTCCGTACACTAGAGACCCAAAGAATCCAGCTGAGGGCCTGGATCCCATGGCAATGTCCTGCACAAGTCCAGCTAGAGGCCTAGAGCCATGACAATGTCTCATGCAAGTCTGCATCAAGGATCTGCACTGGGAAGGCCCAAAAGTCAGTAGTGGACGATAGAAAGTGCACCAGTAGGATGAAGGATCTTTGCCCACAGACAGGGATCTGCACTGGAGCCAGGCAGCAATGCTCAAGGTAAGGACCAGAGCTCCCCAGAAAACAATCACAACCATCCTCAGTGAGAGAGGATCTGAGCTCCTCTGATAAGAACAACTGAGTCCATATCAGGAAAGCCAGTGTGACAAGCTTCTCCAGGAGAATCAACAGCACACCACCTTCCCCTCCAGGTTCTCCTTTTATGCTGTTGGCAACAGTCCTCAGGTGGGCCTTCACACCCAGCACCACGCTGAGTCAGGTCAGCTGCATGTTACAAGTTGACCGTAGTTAATTTACCACAGCCCTATCTCAAAAATAAATAAATAAAACGGCTATTATCAAGCCCAGCTCGATGGCACATGCCTGGACAGTTTGGTGATTTAGTAAGACCCTGTCTCAAAATAAAAAATGGACTGGTGATTTCAGTGTGAAGTTCATGATGAGTACTGCAAACATAAATAAATGAATACCCTTGATATACAGAGCAGAATGGTGTTTTGAGGGAGAGGGTTGTCTTTAAAAAAAAAAAAATGTTTTTTAAAGATCTCACCATGTAGTTCAGGCTCAAACTCGAATTCACAGTGATCATCTTGCTTCAGCCTCCCAAGTTCTAGTATTTCAAATATATGCCACTGCGCTTGGCTCAATGATGTTTTAGTAGGTTTCTCTGAAACTCTGTGAGTTTCACTTAAACCAGTATGGTCATGTTATTCTTACAATCATCTTCTCAATACTGCTTCTTTGAAACATTACAGATTTTTCTTAAAAAATTGACCTTGGTGACACAGGCCTATAATACCAGCGATTTAGGAGACTGAAGCAGGAGGACCACAAATTCAAGGACAGCCTGGGTAACTTAGAAGGACCCAATCTCAAAGTAAAATAAAAGTATATTTAAAGGCAGGGACAGCAGATATCTGAGGATGTAGCTCAGTACTCCCTGGGCTCAATCCCCAGTACCAACTGGTAAACAGCCAAGTGACCAAATGAGTGATGGGCTCAGTGAAGCAAGTGTGCCCCACCAGCTGGTCGGCCCTTGAGGGAGAGAACGATTCAGTGTGACCAAGCGTTCCAGCTTTCATACATGAAAAGATGAACTGAAATGGGGAACACAGACTGGGGATGGGGACAGGTGGACAATCAGAAGAGTGGCTTTAGATGTGTTGCATCAGAGGTGCTTCGGGGACACCCTGAGATGACCAACCAAGAACCTACAGCTATAAGAGAAGCAAGATTGAAGTGTAGACCAGGGGCCCTCGCCATCCCTACAGGCCTGTGTCACTTTATCATTAAGCACAATCAAGTCTTTAAAAAATCCTCCCCCTTCTGCAGCTGCTTCTGCTACTTGTTTTCTTCTCCTCTTTTTCTTGTCCAAAGTCCCCAGAATGCATCCTGGTCCCCCTGGCTTCATAATTTAATTCCTCATGGGATTTCAGCTTGTGACACCATGAAGGCCTCCTCCTTGAAATACTCTCCTGCCTTCATCATCATTTGCTTTCTGGTTTTCTCTCCACTCAGTATTTCTCTGTATCTTTGCAAAGCTGTGGCAATGGAAACCTTTTGTTGTTCCTGACCATGACAGTTGCCGCTAACCCTGGGTGGCCCCTAGGCACTTGCAGTGTGGCTAGAAGGGCTGAGGAACTGAAATTTTTATTTAAGTTTAATAAATGTAAATTGAAACCGCCACCTGCGAGCAGGGAGTTTTATGTTGGACAGTGCAGTCTTCAGAATCTCTTTTTCTCCCTCTAGCACCTGAATATGAAAATGACTCCAGACTAGATTTTGACTCCTGGGCCTCCCCTCCGGAGCTCTTGTGGAGCCCTGACAGGCCTGCAGCCCCAGCCCTCTCCTCTAAATTCAGGCCTCAGCCTTATCTGGGTTCTGTTCTTCACCCTCAGGCAACTTACATTCTTCCAGAGTGTCTCACTCCACAGCCAACTCCAGATGTGCACGGCTGCACTTAGACCCAGCCCTGCCCGGCTGAACCAGCTCCACCTCCTGCTGAGGCTGGTGGCGACAGCACCCTGCTGTAGAAGCCAGCCCTGAAGGCACCTTTGACCCCTCACTCCCTACCTCTCCCTTAGGCAGCCCATGACCTGCTGGCAAGTTTTTCTGCATAATCTCAAAGGACACCCTGAGATGACCAAAAGAAACTTGTTCACTTCCTTGGAACTACAAAATCTGGTGTGTATTTTTGTTTTGTTTTGTTTTGTTTTTTGGGGGGGGGGGCTCTTTTCTTTCTTTGGTATGGAGGATGGAACCCAAGGTCTCACACTGAGCTATATCCCCAGCACTTTTTTAAAAATAATTTTTTTTTCTTGAGACAGCAAGCAGCTCACTAAGTCACCCAGACTGGCCTCGACTTTGTGATCCTCCTGTCTCCACCTCCCAAGAAGCTGAGATTACAGGTGTGCACCACTACAACCAGTGGCCTGAAGCTACAAAATTGATCAAATCCCACTCAGCTGGACACTCTGGCTCCTACTCTCAAGACGGCAGTCCCCATTAAAGACAGAACAGAAGCGGTTCTAAACTCAAATAATAGGAATAATGGGTTTATTGCCAGAGAAATCCCCCAGTCCCATTCAGAAATGTTTTGGGTCACAGCGGAGGGAGCTGTCCTGGGTGGGCTTCTGTAGCCCTGGTGGGACCCCAGACCTCCCTGCCCCTTCGTGTAGTACGTTTGCCACCATATTCATGTTCTTTCCTCTGGCTCAAAAATGGTTAGTGATTCCCACACAAGGGCATCTCCCAGCTCCTCCCTGTTAATCTCTCACCTCTGAGGGCTGATTGCTCCTGCAGACCCAGTATTTGCCTTCCTGCTCCTTCCCTCTTGCCAGTCCCAACAAGACTTTCAGCTTCCTCCAAGTCCCGCCTTCTCCCCTGTCACCCACTTGCATCCCACTGTCCATGCAGGACCGGGCCCTAAGTTTCCCTTACACTCAGAGCACCTCTCAGTTGTGCACTGAATTCATGATACATCCACAGCTTGATCACGAGCACTTTGTGCACAGCCAAACATCATACCCTTTTGTGGTTTGCAAGCCACGATTTTCAAAGAAAAAAAGAAGTATACTTTGAAAACAAAACAGATCTTTGTGGCACATGGGGCACGTTTTTTTAAATTTATGACTTTTAATTCACTTGAATTTCAAATACTAGAGGAAAATGTAGGAGGTTTTACTACCTTATCAAAGGAAACGTTGTTTAATGAAAGATTGGGAAACAGTTCTTTAGTGATGATCAAATAGAAGATAGTTAACAAATACCCACTGAACAAGTCATTGATTTCAGTAAACCCCGATTTGTTCTTCAGACTTCTAATGGAGAAATTTCAGATTACTTATTTTCATGGAGAAATAGTTAATGACCTATTGGTTATAAAGTGGCCACAAAACTAATGGTCAACAGTTGAACAAATTTTTAAAAACTTACAAGACAATCTTTAAGTATTCTTATTACCTACCATTTCAGATATATATATATAGTGTGTGGTCTATATGTAAATTATAAAACATAATAAATAATAAATCACCAAGTTTAAGAGATTTCTTTTATTGATAGATTACCCATAACTGAAGTATTCTATTACCCTTTAAAACAAGTATGCTTTGGGCGGGGGATGTAGCTCAGCAGCACAAGAACCAGGGGGCAAGTATGAGGTCATGAGTTCAATCCCCAGTACCAAAACCAATAAAATAAGTGTGCTTAGTTTGGCTCTAATTATATATACTTCAGTGAATTGTTTTCGTTCATTAGTATATAAATTTATTTAAATTCTATAGTCAGAATTTTTGCCTGACTTATTTGAATGATCTTGTTTCCAGCATGCTTATTTACTCATCTCTTAAATTTTTCCTTCTTTATTTTGAATGCTCTCACTTCACAGTCCCAGGAGATAATCTTTCTACTTCATATTTCCTCCACGTTGAACTGAATAAGCCACTTATGTGCTGATGTTTCTAGTCTACTCAAGTCATTTCGTTCCTTCTTTGTATCGACTGACACTCCCTCTAGTTCTGTATAACAAGCTTACTGCATGTTCCTTCTTCCAAGTCACTGACATATAAAATGAATAAAATTGGTCCTAATATTGATTACTTGAGCTTTATAACCTGTCCATTCCAAAGTATCCCACACTTTGATATCAAAATCGATGTTTAATTGACTTAAGCAGTTCATCCCTACGTCATAGGAACCTAACTTCTGGAATCATTGTCTGTATAGCATCTTTTCATGGCCCTTTATCCCAGCACCCAAGTAATTGGTTCATTCTTCCCTCAGCTGGTATTTCTTATTAGATCCAGAAGTTATTTCGCATCAGTGAGGCGGATGAGAATTCATGCTGACTCCTTTTCTAATCATTGATTTCCTACAAAACCTACCAATATCTTCTCTACAGAAGTTAAACTTGATATTTCTGAATCATGAGCTTAAGAGAAAAGGGATATTTATAGACTGAACAATAACTCAATGAGGGTTTTATTTTCTGTAACTCACAGTAAAAGATAAAAGTATTTTAAATTTCCTTTGTCTTTATCAATGAATCCAAATGTTTATTAAGAGTCAAGCGATACTAATTCATTTTATATTTGAATAAAAGTCATAATTTTAATTCTTCTTTAAAAGTAGCCCTTAATAGAATATATAATTAAACATGACTCGAACATACTTTCATAACATTTCCACGAGGTCAAAAGTCATCCCATTTAAATTAAACTAACACTCCATATCATGCATCCGTGAATCTAAGGCATTATTATCAAATGATATGTTTATAATTTATAACCCACTAAGAAGTAAAACAACTGCCAATTAAACTATAACATTATGTTTTTAACCAAAAAAATCCCAACACGTGGGAGGCTGAAGCAGGGGGATCATCATGAGTTTGAAGCCAGTCCAGGCCACATAGAGAATTCAAGGCCAGCCTGAAGTACATAGATAGATGCTGTGTCAAAAATAAAATAAAATTTTAAAAAGGAATAAAATGATACCAGATACCTGTAATCCCAGAATTCTGGGAGGCTGAGGCAAGAAGATCATAAGCTTGAGCCCAGCCTAGACAATCTAGCAACTTAGTGAGAGCCTGTTTCAAAATTAAAAATATCAGAAAGGGGTCAGTGCCAAGGCCTTGGATTCAGTCCTAGGCTGTGAGTGGGATGGAAAGAAAAAAATTTTAATTGCAATAGTGAAAAATCTCATGGTCAAAATTCATAGAACTGTACCCCCAAAATGGGTGAGCTTTATATATATAAATTACACCTTAACTTTTTTTAATGGGAGAAAGAAGTAAACAAAGATATTCTCCACGTAAAAAGCCCAGTAGAACATTCTATGAGAATGTCCCAAGATATGCTGCAGATCCTGTCTCTAAAGGTTTTATTTATTTATTCATTTTTGGTTTTATGAGACAGGGTCTCAGGTTAGCTCTCCTGCCTCAACCTCCCAAAAGTGAGAGTTGGGTGTGAGCAGCCATGCCTGGTTTGAAGGCTTTTAACACTGACCTTTTAATTGTGGGAATTTTTTTAGGAGGAGACAAAATATAAGACCATGGGCCTAGAGGTAAGTGTTTGAAAGTAGGTAAAACCCTGGATAAAGCAGAGGAATGGAAAAAGGTACACACTTTTTAAAGTTTATTTACTGTCTACTAAAAGAAAATGCATGAAGTGGTCAAGTCAATAAACCTACAGAACTCCCCACAAACACGCAAGTGTGTCTCTGGAAATAGAAGGACAATATAATTGCAAGAAGATGCATAAACATGGTGGATTTGTATGCATCCATGTGGTCACTTGAAAACCAGAAGCAGCAGAAAACTTTGCAGGTAGTAGAACTTCAATGAATTTATTGATTTGACAGATATTTAACTTCTTTTTTTTTTTTCTTTTTCTTTTTCCTTTTTATCGGTACCAGGGATTGAACGCACGACTGCCTGCTTGCAAGGCAGGCGCTTATGCCGCTGAGCTAAATCTCCAGCCCCAGATACTTAACCTCTTATCTTTAACTTTTATTTAACCTATTATCCTATTATTAATCAGTTGTTCCTAACCTGTTTTCTGTTGTGTCTTAGATTTATTTATTTTATTTTTAATAAATTTTGTTATTTTGGAATAGTTTTAGATTTATGAAAAAAATTACGAAAAATCCAGCAATTGTAAAAAATTACAATCTCAGCTACTCAGGAGGCTGAGGCAAGACAAAATTCAAGGCCAAGCCCAGGCAATTTAACAAGATCTTGTCTCAAAATTAAAAAAAAAAAAAAAATAGGATCTAGGGATGCAGTTCAGCAGTAAAGCTGATGGCTGAAGTCCTAGAGTCAACCCCTAGTACAGCAAAACAAAACAAAGATATTATGGATTAAAAACTCCAGTACTCTGGAAAGGCTGAGGCAGGAGGATAAGTTGGAAGTCAGCCTGGGAAATTCTGCAACTTAGTGAGACCCTGTCTCAAAACAAGGAATGAAAAAGGACTGGGCTGTAGCTCAGTACAAAAGCCCTGGGTTCAATTCCCAGAACCTAAAATGGTAAGAAGAAAGACAACACAGAGTTCCCATATACATTTAACCCAGGTTCCTCCAGTGTGGACTCATTAGTTTGCCAGGACCATCCTGATTTTAGCACTGCAAGGCCCATTTCCAAAGGAACCCCTCTCCACGGCAGCTCTTATGGCCAGTCACCCTGCACCGTTAGCATCATCCACTAGCCCGGCGCATTTGTCGAAGCTAAAAAACGAACAGCGCATTTCTGCTAAACTCCAGACTTCCTCTAGGTTTTGCCCGTTTTTCCATGGCTGTTATTTTTCTGTTCCAGGGCCGCACCGAGGACCCCACATTCACTGTGTTTAGGCCTCATGTCTTAGGGCTCTCCAGTCTATTTCTCCCTTTTCCTCGTTTCTCACACCCTTCCTTCTGTTAGGAGTTCTGGTATTCTGTGGAATGTGCCGCAGTTTGGGTCCATTTGGTGTTTTCCTCATATTTAGACTGTATCATGGGCTTCGGGGCCCTAATTTATTTTTAAACTCTCCAAATGTCAGTGCTTATTTTCATGGTCACATTCACCATGATGGATTTCAAATTCCACAGAAGATCATTTAAGAAAAGGGACTAAATTAAATCATGCAACCAAGACCATACTATAGGTCAGAGTGAATTTTCTGATTCTAAATGTAGTTCTCACATTACTGTTGCAAAAAGGTCAAAAGTGGATGATGTAGCTATGACAGTGACAAGAAAAAAAAAAGGTCAAAATCAAAATTGCAAGGCAAGCGTAGTAGTGCATGCCTGTAATCCAGGCCCTCTGCAGGCTGAAGCAGGAGCATCAGGAGTTCAGGGCCAGCCTGGGCTACATAATAAGACTCTGTCTCAAAAAAATAAATTTTAAAGAATCACGATTGCTTCAAAATTTTTTTTAAAAAATTTTGAACTTGGGGGGCTGGGGATTTAGCTCAGCGGCATAAGCGCCTGCCTTGCAAGTGTGCGGCCATGAATTCGATCCCTGGTACTGATAAAAAAGAAAAAGACCAAAAAAAATTTTTTTTGAACTTGAAAGATGACAGAGCTCACTCATGCCCAAGTACCTTTGCAGCCATGAGACTTTAGTGTTTTTTCTCTATATATGTTTTTTGGTAGATATTGGACTACTATTATATACTATTTTCATAAATGAAATCATTACATCATTAATATTATTTTATATATTCAGTATCTCTGGTGTGTGTGTGTGTGTGTGTGTGTGTGTGTGTGTGTTTTGGAGCCAGGGTCTCACTGTGTAGCCCAGGCTGGCCTTGAATTCATGTTAATCCTCTTGCCTCAGTTTCCCAAGTGCTAGGATTACAGGTGTGCACCACCATGCCAGCTCACTTTGCTTTTTAAATGAAAATTAACTATTTTCATAGTTAACTAGACAACAAGACTTTACATTGAAGAAAAAAGTAAGTAAATAAAAAAGGAGAGCTTGAGGCATGAGGTTGGCTGGGCCTTGTTCATTCTTGGTAGTCATAGTTGGCTTCTTTTTTAAATTGACCAAAATTGTATATACAGATGTATGGTGTGCTTTTGTTGTGCACATTGCTAAGGATCAAATCTAGGGTGTTATGCCTGATAGGCAAGTGCTGTCCTACTGAGCTATACCCTCAGGCCCAAGATTGGTTTGGTTTGGTTTGGTTTTGATTTTTGAGGTAGGGTATCACTCTGTAGTTTAGACTGGCCTCAAATTTGCAGTGATCCTCCTGCCTCAGCCTCCTGAATGCTGGTGTGCACCACCATACCCAGTGACGTCCTAAGTATGGTAAGTGATTTAAGGCTGAGTGCCTTTCCATCATGTATGTATGTACCATCTTTTTTTTACGCCTTCTTTGATCATGGACACTGAAGTTGCTTCAGTATCTTGGCTGGCGTGAACACAGAAGTGCTGGGGTCTCTTTGACACTGGCTTCACCACCACTGGCTGTGCACCCCATAGTGAGACTGCTGAATCTCATGTGCTGTGGCCCAAATGTCACCTCATGTTGGAAATTATTTACCATTGCAATGGGATTAAGAGGTGATCGGGATTAACGCCATTACTGTGGGAGTAGATTTATTATCGCCAAAGTGGGTTTCTGATTCAAAGGGTGAGTTTGGCCTAATTTTCTCCATCCTTGAGGGTTTGGTATCCATCTGCCATGATATGACATAACAAGAAGGTCCTCACTACCGTAGCTGTGGTGGCATCTCGCTGTAATCCCAGGATTCAGGAGGCTAAGGCAGGAGAATTGTCACCAGTTCAAGACCAGCCCAAAACACATAGTCAGACCCTGCCTCAAAAAAAAAAAAAAGTTCTCAGGCCAGAAATGTAACTCAGTGGTACAGCACCTGCCTGGCAAGCATGAGATCATGAGTTTGATTCCTAATACCAAAAAAAAGTTCTTACCTCTGTAGATGCTGATGCCATTATCTTGAAATTCCCAGCTTCCAGAACTGTAAACCAAATAAACCTTTATTATTTATAAAATATCCAGCCTGTAGTATTGGTATTGTATTTTAGTAGCAGGAAATGCCCCCAAGAAGCAACATGGTAGTTTTTTATTTGTTTCTTTGCAGTACTGGAGA